AACCCGTAATTGTCTAGCGTGATAATGATCAACCAATCACTATGGAAATTGGAAACTTTCCAGTGGAAAGCGGAACAAAACGCGAGCCAAAATTCATCGCTTTTGCTTTGCAATCGGCTTCGTGATCGGAGTGACCGATTCTTCCCGAAAGGGGTTATAGAATAGCAAACCGAACAAAGCGTCCCATAACGAACGTCATTGTTTCGCTTTGAGCTCACAGAATCCGGCCCCTGGTAGGGGTTAGTAATGTGACAAGTACAGCAGATTTTGTAAATGAATTCCCAGAAGTATTCAGTCAGTGATCTAGGTATCTACAAGGGACCTCCAGTTTATTTCAATTTGGACAATAACATCAGGCCTATAGCTCTTAACGCAAGAAAAGTGCCTTTTGCTTTAAAAGACAAAATTGATCGAGAGTTAGATAGAATAGTTGGTGTACTCCGATTGTTGTGGTACCAAAAAATAATGCTGAGGTCAGAATCTGTGGTGATTATAGGAGCACCATAAATAAAGTATTACGTGTAGATACATATCCAGTACCATGTGTTCAAAATATTTTAGCAGCCGGAGGAAAAGTTTATGTGAAACAGGACATGCAACAAGCATATTTGCAATTAACAGTAGATACTGAGGCAGCGAAAGCTCAAACAATTTAAGAGTATAACTTCTAAAGGGTCTAAGTGCCATCTCGATAATTTTTCGGATAATGTTTGGGTTAGTTTGGGTTAAAAAGGGTCTATGTGGCAACAATACATTGTATTTGGTTCTGATATTGATTTAAAGATGATGCAGGATGTAAGTGAAAACTTTATATAAGCATGTTTGTAGTATTTTTCTCGTTTTTCTCAAAATCGAAAAAACCCTTTAGAAATTATACTCTTCAATTATACCACATCGTGGAGCATTTAAATATAATAGATTACAATTTGGTATTTCTATTGCCCCTCAAATATTCCAGAGGTTCATTGATTTACGAATTACAGGAATACCAGCGGTTTTACCCTACTATGACGATATCTTGGTAGTTGGTATGTCAGAAACGTTTTCGTGAAGATGGGCTTCGTCTGAAAAGAGAAAAATGTATTTTCTACTAAAGAGAAAGTTAGCGCTATAGTGAATGCTCCTTCGTACACAAATAAAGAAGAGCTCCAGGCTTTTTTGGGTTTGGTAAATTTTTATCATGTATTTTTGAAAGATAAAGCTAAAATTGCTGAACCTCTTCATAAATTATTGCATAAGGACATCGTTTTTCAGTGGCGTAGGGAACAACAGGACTCATTCGACAAACTTAGAGCTATTTTGGCAGAAGAGCCAGTTTTAAGGAATTATAATGAAAAGAAACCCTTAATTTTTACATGTGACGCCACTCCTTACGGCGTAGGGTGCATTTTAAGTCACAATTGACGACTCAAATAGAGAATACCCAGTGGCGTACAACAGTCGTACGTAATCAAGTTCAGAAAGAAATTTTGTCTAGATAGGTCGCAAAGCTCTTTCCATAATAACAGGGGTAAAGAAGTTTCACGATTACATTTATGGACGTAAGCTTACTGTACGCACGGATCACAAGCCTCTACTTATAAGGAATTTTTAGCCAGACTAAGTTAGTTCTCGAAGTTTTGTCTTCACGGATGTTTCGTTGGACTATTTTACTGAACGCCTATAACTATGCTCTAGAATAGGTTCCAGGAAGAGATTTGGGTAACGCTCTAAGCAGGTTACCTGTAAAATAAAACATGCCACAAGCTCCAATATTGTCAGAAGTTTCGATGCTAGAAAATGTACCGGAAAAAGTGGTAACTGCAAGAGATATTGCGTCAGAAACATTAAAATATCCGTTATTAGCTAGAATTTTCCAATGGATATGGAAAGGTTGGCAAAAAAATTTCAAAAAACTTAGCATCTAAATTTATTCCATTTTATCGAAAAAAAAAATGAAATAACAAGTTACCAAGACTGTTTACTTTGGGGTACAAGAGTAATTATCTGTCCAAGGAGGAAGGAAAAGAGTATTAGACCTGCGGCACGAGTCACACCCAGGTATTGTCAAAATGAAAGCCCTTGCACGATCCTATCTTTGGTGGCCGAACCTGGACAGTCATATCGAAGGAAAGGAAGTGAACATATGTACAGAATGTCAAGAATGAAAGAGTGGGCGGCCGCGACCGTAGTCACATAGGTCTCCTGTGGTGGACCCGTCGTGTGTCAAGAACGTCACAACATGCCCAAGAACTCGCCTTCATGTAGATTTCGCAGGGCCAGTGACTGGGAACTTTTATCTCATAGTTATAGATTCATATTCGAAGTGGTGGGAAGTTAGACAAGTCCCAAACACGTCTTCATTCTCCACCATAAAGGTCCTCAGAGAACTTTTTTCAATACATGGTATACCCAGCATAATAGTCTCCGACAATGGTAGTGGATTCACGTCAGTAGAATTCAGTTCCTCCAGAGAAACGGCATAAGGCAAGCGCTAATTGCACCCTACCACCCAAGTAGTAACGGTCAAGCAGAGAGGATGGTACAAAATGTAAAAACAGCGCTTAAGAAGATATCAGGGATAGAAGTAACCTTGAAGTTGTTCGCTACTTGCTTATATAAACAGCACATTACTCTACACAGTCTCCAGCAGAGATATCGATGGGGCGCAAACTGTCCCCACTGTTAGATAGATAACATCCAGATTTTACTAGAGAAATGGCGACCAAGTGAGAAATTGAAGCAGAGATTTCCAAGAACGAGAAAGTGTTACAAGGTCCTACACAGCAGGGACAGAGTTGATCCCTTCCACAGTTACTCAAGTCACAGGCGCATTGGGTTACAGGGTATCCACTCCAGATGGAAACATTGTACGTAGACATATAGATCAGCTTCGCAGGCGCACAAGTTCAAATTCCAACCAATCTCTACCAAAAAACGAAGAAGCAATGGATAAAAATCCACACGAGGAATCGGTACCCACCGAAGAACAGCAAATACCAAGTCCAGCAGTTCCGGAGCCCCTAGGAACGACAATACTGGGTACATCCATACAATAATGTACTTTTTACCTGTTAGGCAACATTTTGGCAGGCTTTTTCTTGTGATTGTTTTTTCATTAGTGGGCGGATTGGTATTTGTTAGAAAGTTCTTTTAGGTAATGACCAACGTGGAATCAGGGACATATAAGAGTCCCTGTTTGGGAATCGACCCACTGAGTAGTGCACCCCGCACTCTCGTACCAGTCCCTGACGTGTTTCGTCCTTGTTAGGACTCATCATAAGGATATAGGCTGAAGCTCCCTGTCCAAGCTTCCTTGGCTGGTTTCATGTGGCTCATGGTCTATATATCTCTTCTGTGAATTACAAGTTCCTATTGTGAAATACATGTCTCCCCCCCAAAACTTTGATATTCCAAATTACACAATCGAAAAAGGAGCAGTTTGTTAAGTATATATTTATAACAAATACCAATATAATAATTTACACGTTAAAGTTGTGAGTAGGTAATCTATTTAACCCTGCTCCGCAACTAAACAAGTTCATAAATCCAACTTTAGGTTGTATTTAATTCAATCTTAAACCAATCAGCCTTTCAATTCATTCTTTGTTACCTTCAACCATATAGTTCCCAATACAATAACACCTCTTAGTTGATGATATATCGCACAGTTGACCTTTCCATAACAAAGTTGCAGTACCTACACAAAAAAACCAAAAAATTACAAAAGGTGAGACCAAGAACGTTCAACGTTCGCATGTTTACACACCAAATCAATAATCGTATTACGATAAGGCTTTTCGTAACGTTTTATCGGATAGTTGACTAATAAATAATAAAAGCATTAGCCACAATAGCGGCTTGAATAAACAAAGGCAAAGTTTCAGTTGCTTGATAATATTTTTCAAGCTGAAAATATGGAAAATCATCACAAAGCTTCAAATGCTACAAGAATTACAAAATACCTTCAAGCTAAAATTAATTTTCCAAACTGTTAAAAGAGAAGGATTTCGTACGTAATCTCCTCACCTTATTTGTAGGATTAATTAATTATAAAACGACGATTTATTAAAGGGTAATTTTTTGAAAATTGCGATAAGACTCAGTTGCTCGCCTGCCGGGAGTTCGAACAGCTTAACAGAAGTTTCGTTCGGTTGATTAAAAATCAAGGGACTGGCTCCCAGACCTTTTTACTTTAAAAGTTTCCTTCTCTCGAACATCGGTAAACTTATTTTTCGGGTGGCTCCGTAAATTTCGGCAAGGAACTTTCGGGAGAACAGGGAGCAATTCGCAATTTATCTTTCCTTTCAAGGCAAGTTACCATATCATTATAACGTACAAAGGAGGAAAATAAGAGGAAGATGTCTGTAATTTTTTTGGCTTTTATAGAGCTTGTTTTTGACTTATTGAATTTATTGGCAACCAGAGACTTTATTTTTACGATATTTTAAACTTAGATTGATGTGGAACAAAGTACTATCAAGGTTTTATAGAATCTTTTCTTATTTGATATGAAATAGAATCAGACTATTTGACACACTATATTATACATCACTTATATATCTATCAAACTCAAAAAGCAACAAAATTACTAGTGAATACCTTACAACATACCTTTTGGAACAAATATTGATGAGGATATAACACAAAGATATATAAATGTAATCATACATTTTCTATTTATTACGTCAAGGCGATATAAATGCATCAGACTGAATTGCGCCAAATTACACATGTTTATATTGCCGAGTAATTACTAAAATTGGTGATAAGGATTCTATTAAGTATGTGTTTACTTTATACAATAGATTTAGTCATAATTATATCAACTGCAAGGTTAATGAAGTTTTTGTGTTAACAAAGCACCCATTGTTCTAATTAATTTTAAGTATGAAACAATTCTATCTAAGTAGATAACTTTTTATCATTTTCAGATCCAACTGCCAACTCCAACATTCCAATCACCCTTGGAAAAAAAACTTTCATCCCTCTTGCCCTCTGTCACCTACAGCCCCACCACAATGTGTGGGGTAACTAAAACCACCAATCAGAAAATCCCTTTTTTCCTTTTGTTTCTGATCCTGCTCGTCAATTCCATCGATGCCAAGTCGAATCACGAATCCTCTTTACCTGCCCACCATCTGAGCTTCGGATCGACTTACTCGTTTGGAGAAAGCACCAAGTGTCCAAGATCTTGTGTCTGTTCCGGTACCACCGTGGATTGTTCTCATCGAGGCCTTACCGCTGTTCCGAGAGGGATACCAACTGATACTGAAAGACTGTAAGTATCTATAGTATATTGATTCTTAATTTATGGTATTCAAAAGGACATAATTATGTTTTTGGCTCAAGTTCTGAATGATGCGGTTTTTTGCATTGTGTTTTTGCAATGCGGAAATACCGCGTTGTTAGATACTCTCTTACAGCTCAATGTTAAAAACTGTAAGAATTCATGCATGTAGTCATGGGTTTAGGAGCTTTGATGTAGTCAGCTGAAGCAAATACTGACTCTGATTCTGTTTTGACAATATTTTCCGAAACTTCACGAATTAACCCAATAATAAATTATTAACAGAGTTGGGCAATTAATCGTCAATTAATAGCAAATAAGTATCGGTCGTCGATAGTTTAAAACCATCAGGGGCCGCCCCGCGGTCCGGTCATGCAGCGCTGAAGTTGATTTATACGATCCAATTGCGCGCCTTTCCGGAACAATAACAGAACAAACTATTAAAGGACAGTAATTAGTACTGTCATAATTAGCAGCCAACTGTGAACGGGATCCGAATGCTGAGCTGCGGCAAATTTATTGTTAATGGGTGGCCCCTACTATGTTAAAACTGGCGATAATTTCTCTTGGCAAATGACCAATTGATTGATTATTTATGGCCAATTTTACATGAACTTTTGCTGTCTGAGTTACCTTGTTTTGTCTGACGGAAATCTCCTCTTTTTGTGTCTCGTCGTGTTTTTAAGTAAAAAATATACAAGAGATTAAACACCTTGTGTAACGTAGTCGACACATGAAACGCCAGTAAAGCAAACATTGATTTTGTCTCGCTAATTGGTTTAAAGTTTCAAAGTTGGTTTTGTTTTTCTTTTCTTGTACCTAAAAAAAAAAAATGTAAATTTCGAGCTCACGGTCGATACTTTCTTTCGAGAATAATGATGTTATAGTTAAATGGCGAGAGAAAATTGAGTTACCTTCCTTAATTCCTAGATGTCATTAGCAAAAACTTAGTAAAGCAAACATTTTGAACTCTTGAATATGCACTTCTAAAATATTAATAATACAGCATAGCCAACATCCGGTAAATGGAGAGCAATAGTGATATTGAAACGCTTTTCGAAGAAATTTTATATGCACAAGAGTTTATTGAAACAAACGTAATTTTATTTGAATATCAAGCAAGATTCAAAACATATCGTTTTACAAAATGTGCAGCACAATTTGCTTTGAAAACTTGAGATGATTCATTCAAATTCATGATGTTTATGCAATTTAGTATTTTGATTTCAGATGACAAATTGACTCGACATTTTGTTCTTCTTTTATATTCATCTTTGAATGAAGGTTTTTCAAGATTTTTGCCAACCAACTCTGTGGTTAGTTTAAAGTCACTCATCTGTGATCTTCTTACAGGGTATCCTTCAAAACTCTATTTTAAATAGGTGTCGTGCTAATTCAAGTCTGGTTCATTTTCTGATTTGATTTGTGTTTTCACGTCGTGATCTTGCTTTGAACTGTTTGAGTTGGGATTGAAGCTATCCATAGTTGAAGCGATTGTGTTCCAATCTTCTGTTCCAACTTCATTTTGTATGCCAATTGTGTTTTCTTGGTACCAAGTCTTAGTTTTAGGCCGCGATTATTTTCTATGACTCTTTTCCATCAATGCTTTATTGTTCTTCTTTTTTGTCTTCCTTGATTAATTTGATAAATTTCAAAGGGGAGCCTTTACAGGCAGCAAGTAGACGCGCATGTGACTCTCTTTGCCAGCTTTGCCTCTTTCCAGTTTGAGGGACTTTCTATAAAGATCCTTGATTCTCTGAGATCTCTTTGACTCAGTCATTCGTCCCTGATCTTGGTTTTCGCGCACCAGCTGGTCCGCCTCCTCGTTCTTTTATGTTGACTTTGTCTGAGCAATGGGCTCAGAGTGCTGCCTGACTGTCGCTGCATATACAAATATGCTTGCCCGAGTAACCTCTCTAGAGATTCTCCTGAGTACACACCTATATTAGTACAGCAGATTAGCTAACCTATTGTGCACTTTTTGATAAAGGCACCAAATTTGGCACAGAGGTAAATCTCATCAGGATGTGGAGCCATCGGCCAACTGCTCCCCGACGGCCGTGGCGGCGATTTTCCAAAATGGCCGCCAGTGGACACCCCGAAAGACAACGGAAGTTAGATAAAGTTTGCTGCTGAAGGTTTTAGTGGATGTTTATTGATTGTTTTCAATGAAAACATGCCCGATAGCTTGTTAGTAATACAGGGTGGGACACGCAAAACTTCCCACCTAGGTTTTCTCAGGTATTAGGTGAATAATTAAAAATTCCTCGGACACGTCAATTTTTCCTAACTTTGACAAACCACCATTTCGGCAGGGTAAATAGTAATAACTTAAAATTTCGAGAATATATAAGTAATCTCAATAAAACTTTCTATCAAATAACGTATCATTCGACTCCCCTTTCTATTTGAAATTTTGGGGGTACCTGTCACTCCCGCCTAAGGGTTGAAAGGTAGGAAAGTGAAAATACCAATAAAATTGTCGAGCGATTTTTGATTAATCACCTAACACCTAAGAAAGCCTGGGTGGGAAGTTTTTCGTGCCCCGTCCTGTATCTATATACAAAGTGTCCCACGATGTTTTACCCAGGTGATAACTTCGGAACGCGACACCCAATATAATTAAAATTTTGGGAGGATCTGGTTAACTTCACTTTCGCTTCAGTTTCGGTCGTGTGACGGCAACTCTAGAATCCTAAATGTAAATGATAGTATGACATCATTTTTCGTTAGAAAATTAAGTTACAAAATCGGCAATGCCATATATTTGCTAAAGCTTTGTTGAAAAAAATTATAAAAAATTACAAAGTGAAACATTTGATGACGCCGTCCGAAGTTATCACCTGGGTAAAACGTCGTAAGACGCCATGTATATACAGGGTGGGGCACGAAAAACTTCCTACTCGAAATTTCTCAGGTGTTGGGTGATTAATCAAAAATCGCTCGACCATCCTATTGGTATTTTCACCCCCTAGCTTAACCTGTCAACCCCTAAGCGGGGGTGACAGGTACCTCCAAAACTTGAAACAGAAAGTGGGTCTAGTGATACGTGATTTGATAGAAATATTTATTAAGATTATATCCTCGAAATTCTGAGATGCTACTTTTTACCCTGCCAAAATTGCGGCTTGTCAAAGTTAGGAAATAGTACATTTTATCACTCAAAACCCGTTTCCATTTGACATTTTGCGGGTCCCTGGTCCCTGTCACCCCCATTAGGGGTTGACATGTAGAAGATGAAAATACCAATAAAATGTGTCCCCCAAAAAACAAAAATTGACGTGTCCGAGAAATTTTTGATGAATTACCTGAAACCTGGGAGAAAACCAGGTAAAAAAACCTAGGTGGGAAGTTTTTCGTGCCCCACCCTGTATAACAAACAAACTATGTGGCATGTTTTCATTCAAAACCATCAATAAACATTCACTAAAACCTTCAGCAGCAAACTTTATCTAATTTCCGTTGTCTTTCGGGGTGTCCTGGCATCCATTTTGGAAAATCGTCGCCACGGTCGCCGGGGGGCAGTTGGTCGATGGCTCCACATCCAAATTTGTTCATATTACATCGCTCTACCTCTGTGCCAAATTTGGTGCCTTTATCAAAAAGTGCACAATATGTTGAAATATCCTAGCTAAGCTGCCACACTATATAGTCCAAGAGCCCAGAGCCGCCAGACACAACTTATTTTCTAAAGGACAGAATATGTGGGATTGTGTAGCACTTATATGTACTATGAACGTATGTATACCCGCTAAGTTGGGTAGACGACCAATTTACCGACACCAGGTGCGAAAGCTTAAGAAGTACTTTAACTTTTTTTCTAACGCTTGATTTTTATACATGTTATTGGGGAGACTATTTCGTAACTACGTGTGCTCAGCCAGACCAATCGCACCGGCCAAACATCCCCCCAGACGCAATAATAGTTTTTCCGTGAGTGTGAGCGCGAGGGTACTATGCATGCGTTTGAGAGTGAGCGAGATATCTATTTCCCCCTCTTAAACTTACAATCTACTCCAGGCTTGAGTAGAAATGGGATTCGGTTTTTCCCATAATGGGAAAAACCGTTATTTACAAATAACAGTCAACTGGCCGTCTACCCAACTTAGCGAGTATACATACGTTCATAGTACCTATAAGTGCTACTCAATCCCACATATTCTGTCCTTTAGAAAATAAGTTGTGTCTGGCGGCTCTGGGCTCTTGGACCAATATGGCATAGATCTCAGTCTGGTATACCGTTGTGTCAGTGCATCAATTTTCTTATTTTGGCTTTTCTTCTTTTTTACTTTCTTTCCGTTTGGAAGTAGGGATGGCTGCCTTATACTGGAACTGATCTTCACAGTGGGAACTGATCCAAACTGATCCACTGCAAAATAAACAGGTCCGAGTTCGAGTCCGGACCACTTTTGCTTTGCGTTGTCTACGTTGTACGGACTGGGACTCGAACTCAGACTCGGACTAATCGGATCATGCCGCGCCGGTCAGTGAAACAGGAAACTGTGCGGACTCGGACTAGGGACATGGAGTCAGCAACTGAGTACACTACACCGACAGACTCGTGTCGATCAAAGGCTCGGGATTGTCGGGATCACGCCGCACCGATGCAACCACTAGAACGGAGAGAGTACGAGAGTGAATCGCCGATAGGATATAGATGAAACGGAACAGAAAAAAAACTGATCTAGGTGCTTTATGATGCTAGATGTTGGCTAGGGAATTTAAGGAAGGGAACGAAACAAGATGGCTGTTTACGCCAAAATAGGAAAAACCAGTATTTCGGTTCGGTCCATCGTTCATCGATTTTCGGCTCGACTTGGCCGGACTCGAACTTGGAACTGATCCATGGATCAGGTATCTATTTGGACCGGATCAGTTCGAAACTGATCCATAAAATTTGTCGGATCCGGTCACCCCTAGCTGGATGTCGTCCAATCAATCTATCATTAACATTGTTCATGTCATCTACTTTTGATCCTTTTTCTTCCAGT